AGTTTCTATAATAACTCTTAGAAACAAAAAACAAGAAGAAATTAGAGAATTATATTATAATTCTTATAGTTTTCATGAAGATAGAAATATGATGGATACATCTGATTATTACTATTCAGAATAAAATGAGTCTAAAAGAAATTTTAGTATATATATATATATATATATATATCCTAGTTCTAAGATTGGTGATTTGGTTAATGATAGGTTTGGAGAATTAGGCGGAGGATGATAAAAGAGTTGATATTTTAAAATACTTTTCTTTAACTGGTTTTAAAGCAAGTAAAATATATGTGGGAATTTGATCATAAAAATCAAATACTTATTTTTTATGTAAAATTTAAAGTTGGAGTGGAATTGTAATCTAGAACATAATTTCAAGAAGACAAAAAAAGAAAAAATTAGAAAATGACCAATTACCAAACTTTTCTTCTCTATTTTCTGAAGTTTGAAAAAAACATGTTTATTTCTCAAAGTTTAAGCTCATTTTCTTTTTTACTTTTAATGATAAATTCCTAGTGTTATCTTCAAATTTTAACCCAAAAGCTTGAAATTTGATTTATGGAAATACATACTTCTGGAAAAATTCAAAGTACTAAAAGCCCTTATCTGAAAATCAGCCTTAATCCAAAGCCTCTGTTTCATTTTATTTGATTTTTATGTTTAAAAGGCAATTTTTTACTTTATTAAATGAAAATAATTTTTTTTCCTTTCAAATTTTAGATTTTTAACAAATAATTCATAATGTTAATTTAATAAAATAAATCATTAATATTTTCTTAATGAGTGTGTCAAGTAAAATAAAAGAAAGTGAGTAATAATGGTGTCATGTGTTTGGCAAAAAATGTTGATAAATTATTCTTTTATGAATGACTAAGGGTCTGGTTGTTTGGATATGACTTTTAAAATTATGATTTCAAATCATGATTTAAGGCCAAAATTTTATAATTTAAATTTTTAAGTTGTTTTTTTCCCTTTCATAAATATAAAAAATTCATAATTACTATCATAATTTTTTTATTCTTAATTTTACCAAATGAATAAATCATAGTTCATAATTCATAAACACATTAATTTCTTTCATGTATAAATATTTGTGATTACATGTTATTACAAACTTTCAAATATACATAGCTTTATATAAACTCACTAATCTAACATTTCACCAATGGTCAATAGTACTAATAACTAACTATTTTTTAAACACAATTCTCTCACAGGATACGAACAATCTTTTCACATTGAATTTTTTTTTTCCATAAAATTTAAATGACGAATCTTAATTTGTGAAATATAAATTTATGAGTCTAATTTTACATTTAAAGAAATAATAATTAAATCACAACTTAAAATTCTACTTTTTAGAGAATTAGAATTTTAGGATCCGTTTGAACATACGATAAAAATCATGATTCAAAATCACATTGTTTGAAGTAGAAGTTTTGTTAATTTAAACATACGATTTAAATTTTTCAAATTGTATTGTTCTTATAAACGTGAATACCTCACAAACTTTGAAAATAATCAAAAAATTTCAAATTGTCATACAATTTTAACGAGCAAACAAACCGTAATCCATAAATCAAATATCAAAACATCCTGAGTTCCTGACAAACCACTTTAATAAATCAGATATACCTTTTAAAAAAGATGTATAAAAAATAAATGATGAAAAATTTAATCAAACCAAAAATACTTCATAAGTTGGAATAACTACCTTATTGAGTAAAAAGAATTAAATAAAAAGACAACTATTTATGAAAGGGTAATAATAATGATAGACCCCAACTATGACTTGTTGACATTTTCATTCTTCTTCTTCTTCAGACAACACAACAGAAGAGAATAAAAAACACCTCTTCTTCCCTAACACCAAGTTTCTTTGGGGGAAGAGAGACTCATATGTGTATCTATTTGTAATAAACAAGAAAAAGGGTATCCGGGTTTTTGATTTTCTTGATGAATTGAAACTTGATCATTCTATACTTGTTAATTTCTGGAGGAATTGGGGAAAAATTATAATGGAATTGGTTGATCAGTCTGAATCTTCTCCTTTGGTTCCTCCTTCTGTGATCACTGACACAAGTGAGATCGATCTTGAAGCTGGTTCTAGTGAACAGATTCAGTGTAGGATTTGTCTTGAGACTGATGGTCAGTTTTCTTTCTTTCTTCATTTCACCCATTTTTTGATTCTTTATTGTTTGAAATATTAGTTGGTTCAAGTGTATTAATTGGGATTTTTGTGGTGTTCCTAACTGTAAAGGTAGCTGCTTTAGGTGATTCTTGAGGACCCTTTTATGGAATGAAAGTATTTTGGTGAATTTGTCTTGAAAATATGATACCATAACCCCAAGTGTATTAATTTGTCTTGGTTCAAGTGTATTAATTGGGATTTTTGTGGCGTTTTAGGTGATTCTTGAGAACCCTTTGATGTAAATGAAAGTATTTTGGTGAATTTGTTTTGAAATTTGATACCATAACCCGAAATTATACTACTCAAGTAAGGCATTAGTGAGAGGATGAGTTTTGCATTTGGTTGAGAAATTGGAGCATGTGGTAGTATTAGTTTTGTCTGATTACAGTGGAAATGAAAATATCATGTGATACTGCATATATTATATTTGAATTTGTTTCTTATCAACATTTATTTTCTATTTGGTTATTAAAGAAATGAAAGAAGTAAGAAGTTTTTAGTAAGAGGCGGTGTGAATTTTTATGCGCTTGGTGGATGCTTGTTTTTCTGGGTCGTTTGTTGTTTATTTCGTTCTATAACATAATATCATTTGCCTCAGTGATGGATGTACTAATGAAACATATTCAAGGAGAGGTGGAGAGGTGCCATGGTGTATGTTCTTTGCAGATGACATAGTGTTGATTAACAAGACACCTGACGAAGTTAACGATAGGTTGGAGGTTTGGAGACAGACTCTAGAGTGTTAAGGGTTTTTAGGTTGAGTAGGATTAAGACTGAATACTTGGAGTGCAAGTTCAGTGAAGTAACTCATGTGACACATGTGGGAGTACAGATTGAAACACAAGTCATTCCCAAGAAAGGAAGTTTCAAGTATTTGGAGTTAATAATACGACGATATGGAAGCTCGTATTGGAGTAGGTGGACGATATGGAAGCTCACATCCGGTGTCTTGTGTGATAAGAATGTGTCACCAAACATTAAGGGTAAGTTTTATGAAGTGGTGATCAAACTGGCTATGTTGTATGGGGCGGAGTGTTGGCCATTCAGAGCTCGCAACCTCACATGCCCAGAAGATGAAAGTAATGTAAATGAGGATGTTGAGATGAATGTGTCAACATACTAGGTGTGATAGTATTAGGAACAAAGCTATCTAGGACAAGGTGAGAGTGACCTCTGTGGTGGAAAAGATGAGGGAGGCGAAATTGAGATGGTTCGGACATGTGAAGAGAAGAAACACATATGTCCTAGTGAGGAGGAGTGAGAGGTTAACTATAGTGGGTATAAGTAGAGGTAAATGTAGACCAAAGAAGTCTTGGGAGAGATGATTAGATAAGACATTCAATAATCGAGGACATGACCTTAGATAGGAAGATTTGGAGTTGGAGGATTAAGGTAGAAGGTTAGTAGGTCGAGTGTTGTCTAGTTTCATTTTCAGTATTGTTCCTCCTAGCGAGGAGGAGTGAGAGGTTAACTATAGTGGGTATAAGTAGAGGTAAAGGTAGACCAAAGAAGTCTTGGGAGAGAAGATTAGATAAGGCATTCATTAACCGAGGACATGACCTTAGATAGGAAGATATGGAGGTCGAGGATTAGGTAGAAGGTTAGTAGGTCGAGTGTTGTCTAGTTTCATTTTTAGTATTGTTATTATTACTTCCCTACTATCTTATTTTTTAATTTTAGTACTGCCTGATGTTTTTTCATTTGCTTTGGTTATCGTATTATTTTGTCGTTGCTACCATTCTCTTCTTTATTGTTTTCAGCATGACTTCTTCGCTTTTGTATTTGCTTTATATTCTTGTTTTTTATATGCTTACTTGAGCCGAGAGTCTACCGGAAATAGTCTCTCTACCTTCACAAGGTAGGAGTAAGGCTGCGTGCAGCCGTGCAACACCCTCCCCAGACCCCACGTGAGGAATTACACTGGGTATGTTGTAGCATAACATTATTGGGTTATATGTGCTGAACTTGTGCTGTTTCAGAACTGGGATGTGCTTATAAATGTTTTTGTTTTTTCTTTTCAGGTAGGGATTTTATTGCACCTTGCAAGTGTAAAGGTACATCAAAGTTTGTTCATCGGGAATGCCTGGATCATTGGCGTGCAGTGAAAGTATGTTTTTCATTTTTGGCTTTTGAATCTGTATTACTTGAGCAGTTTTAACCTTGTTATTGTCGAAGTTGCCTTGTTGCCTTGTTGCTTTTGTGTTAGAAAGGCACTCCATCAAGATTTTTGTCATTTCTTGTTCTTTTATAACCATGGTTTTCGGGCTAGCTTGCGCGTACCTCGACTAGTTCCATGGGGTACCTGTTACCTCAGGTAACTCTACCCACCAAGGCTTGGACATGTTGACAAATGGGAAGAAATCACCTAGTGTTTTTGTCTCCGTTGGAATTAGAACATTAGATTTCATGACTCTCAAGTATCCACTCCATTGATTAGTAGGTCGCACCGTTAGGTGCTAGAATACTGTTATTCCTTACCTTACTTGGAATTAATTTGTTTTTGTATTGATGCATTAAAGCGTAGAATCAAGATTTGATTAGTGTCATTTGTACATATATTGAGCATGTATAGCTTTGGACTAGCCACTTTACTTGCAAGAGTCATTTTTTGTGTGTGCTTTTCATTTCAACACTAATTCAAAATTATCAAGTAGTTGTTGAGGCTTTCCTTTCATAGAAGCAATGTCTGCATAAGAGTGCTGATAACTTCCAAGCAATTTACAAATTACAGTAAGCAATATTCACCAGAATTATATTTATTTTCGTTAGCTAAATAAAATTTGTATTTTACAGGAAGGATTTGCTTTTTCCCATTGCACAACTTGCAAAGCTCCCTATTACTTGAGAGTTCATGTTCCCACTGATAGAAAGTGGCGAACTTTGAAGTTCCGATTCTTTGTGACCAGAGACATTTTGTTCATCTTTCTCGCAGTTCAGCTTGTAGGTGGTTGGTCCTGTTTACAAATTTTGTTCTTTGATTTTCTGAAATATCCTTACCTTATTTATAGAGAACATATCCAACTGAGCTCTTACCCTTTTCATTGCAGGTTATAGCCTTACTGGGATATTTAGTTTACTTGATCGACACCCACCATAAGTCTTGGTTGCGTTTTACTTGGGGGTTTGATAGCGAACTAAGCTTCTACTACCTATGCGGTAAACATCTTGAGCTTTCCACTAGTTATTATTTGTTAAGTCCTGATTTTTTTTTTGATTGGTTGTATGTTCTAAATCATGGTGTTGCCTATCGCAAAAGAAAGAGATCTGTTAAGTAATGATATTTCATGTTGTCTTGTCCTATAAATTCTGTTGTGCCAATCTCCTTTACTCTCCCTCTCTGGAACTTATATCCTTTTCTTCATTTGTTTGTTTCCTGGACAAAATGAAATTTGTGATGGTTGATATGGTGGTTTGAGGAATCTTGCTCACCTTGAGATATTTTCTCAACGAATGGACATTATACCCTTCAAGAAGCTGCACCTAAGCCAAAATCTTCCCTAATAAGACTTTTATATGTTATATCTCCCCAAAGAATGATGTGACAGGAAGGGTTAGGGTCACTATGTTCATAGATGCTCTTATGTTTTTAAAATTTCTGTCCGAAGATGACTGAGAGGATTCACATTAATGGCAGTTAGTGGTTTGTGGATGCCTTTTTTGTTGCTCGAAGGTGGTCCGTGGTCGTTTAGGATAAAGTTGTTCATATTAGGAGAAGGAACAAAAGATTGTAGGTTTTCCAGTATGGTAGGACTGTCCCTGCACCTACAGTATATGGACCTCTTCATGCAAATTTGTGACAGTTCTGGAGGCTTTACTGGATCAGGATACTTGAAAAACTTCCAGAGAGGAAGTAGGATGTTTCTGGTGTAGTGCTTCTATAGGTTACTAAGAAGAGATGTCACAATGTTCTGCATCTATCAGTTTGACTTCCCAAAGCTTAGATAAAGCTATGTATTTTCAGCTGGTTGGCAACAAAGAGGGCATAGCTGAAATTTGAGAGGATAAAATAAAGTAGTTGTCATGTGCAAAGTTTAGGAGAAAATGTGAATCGCCTACTATTGCATTGTCTGGTGGCAAGGCAATTGCCTATTTGCCATAAGAAGTGAGCATTTTCTTAAGCATTGAACCATAGGGCATAACGACCAGGGTCAGTGTAATGTCCCTGATGGAGGGCGAGACAGGGAAAAGGTTCAACGGGCATCAAGGCTGGGAAGTTTTTGAAGAAGGGTGCATATAACGCCTTAGGAAAATCCCACATTGTAAAGGGAGAGAAAAGTAGCATGCCTTAACATACCAACAATTTAAATGGTATGTACGCTTTTTAGCTTCGGGGTGGCCCAGTGGTTTGGGCTTGGGACTTCC